AGGATGAAACCATAAGAAGTAAATATGATGATGGTGGGTGTCTTGGCCCAGAATGTTTCAGCCCCAAACCACAGAATCCACGAGGTCTGGCCTGAGTGGGGGAGCGTGGACTTTGGAATTCCTAGTAACCCAAAGGCGATAAAGACCAGACACAGGCATCTTGTCATATTTAGAGAGCTCTCAGTTCTATGCTGCAAAATTGGAGTCTCTCCTTTATTCAGCATCTTCCTGGCTGTAATGTAACCATTCTTCCCTGACCCCAGACCATTTCTTTCCCATCTTCCTAGACCCTATCAGCAGATCTCTCAACTGTCTCTGAACCTGTAGACCTCCCCGCCTGATACTTCCTAACCCTCTCCTCACTGTCATGTAGATCTATCCCTCCGCCCTGGTGCAGGACTATTCACTTGGTTACTTCTGTAGAGATGTAAAACTAAGGGACATTCTCCACTGAGGCTATGCTATTCAACATCAAATCAGCTAGAATCTGCAATATAATGTAGACCTGAGATCTGGAGGTTTGGACCCCGAAAAATCCTCTAATACCACAATATTCAACTCCGGACAGGTGGGGACAATGATATCTTTTTCCTCCTGTGATCAACAGTTCTAATTTATTGACAAAGGTGCTGGGACAGGAAAGCTGGAACAGAGGGAGAAGGTCAGAGAAATTGTGGTTGATTGTTGGTGATATTCTCACTACAAAAGGTCAATTTAAACATGTGTCAAGTATGAATCATGGTACCAGCAAATCCCATCACATATTCACCATGCATAAGACACATACACAATGTAGGGGACATGACAGGGTTATACACAAGGGGTTGCAAATAGACACATAGCGATCATAGGCTATTGATATCAGCACATAACATTCCGAAAAGGCAAAAAGAGAAAAGATGTAGACATGGGTTATGCATCACATGTAGAGATAATGTTCCTTCTTAGGATGAAGTTCATCAGCATTTTTGGTGTAATCACAGAAGAATAAGAGAGGTCTGTAAATAACAAATTAAAGAGGAAAAAGAGCATAGGAATGTGAAAGGGTGAATTGAGGACAATTAGCATCATCAAAACTAAATTTCCCAACGTAGTGATCATGTACATTATTAGAAAAATGAAAACATTGGTATTTGAAGATCAGGCTAGTCTGTTAAACTCATGAGAACCAATTCAGGTACCAAAGAGCAATTTAAAGGAAACATTTTTTTCTGTGTGGTAATCTGCAGAGACAGGCAAGGTGAAGTTAAAGAAGAAGACAGAGTTTCCTTCTTAGGATGAAGTTCATCAGCATTTTTGGTGTAATCACAGAAGAATAAGAGAGGTCTGTAAATAACAAATTAAAGAGGAAAAAGAGCATAGGAATGTGAAAGGGTGAATTGAGGACAATTAGCATCATCAAAACTAAATTTCCCAACATAGTGATCATGTACATTATTAGAAAGAGTGAAAACATTGGTGTTTGAAGATCAGGCTGGTCTGTTAAACTCATGAGAACCAATTTAGGTACCAAAGAGCAATTTAAAGGAGACATATTTTTTCATGTGGTAATCTGCAGAGACAGGCAAGGTGAAGTTAAAGAGGAAGACAGAGCATTCAACAATTATTGTCATCGACAAACTTGAGAAACACACTGAGAATATCTGAAAATGGCCAACTTGAAACCTTTCATGCTTCCATTAATGAATTACATCCCTCATATTAAAGTCTTATTGCCTTAATATAACAAAGAACAGTGTCAACATCTTGCAAATATGAGCCTAGGACTGCCATAGACTGGGTCTTTTGTTTTTCCATATAAAGTTGAGAATTGTTCTTTTAAGGTCTTTGAAGAATTGTGTTGGGATATTGATGGGATTGCATTGAATCTGTAGATTGCATTTGGCAAGATTGCCATTTAACTGCAGGAAACAAAAGAGCAAGAATCCCAAATTCAGAGAGGTAGGGTGTTAGTTGGGTGGGGGATCAGGGGAGGAGAGGGAGAGGGAACTGGGATTGACACATAAAAGAATCTTGTTTCTAATTCAAATAAAAAAATGGAGAAAAAGATATCACAAACTCAGATTTCCCTTCAGATCTCAAAATAATTGTGGAGACCAGATTCTATCTCTGTCTGTCCTGGGAATGGACTTTTTCTAAAGTGGGTGGAAAAGATGAGTATAATTGTGGGTCCCTCAGGAAATCAGAATCATGATCCAGGGTGTAATACAATTTCCTCAGCTCCATCTTCAGTATAAATGCTCTCCTCTGAGGAAGAGCCTGGATGTTGTTCTGCCCTACTAATAATCACACACATCCTGCAGTTAAAAGGCCTTTCTCTGCCTCCAGAAAAGACTCAAAGTCTTAATCACAAATAATGTTCTGCAATTCAAAAGTTTTCCCAGGAAAATTAAGTCTGGAGTATATATTCTTTAAAATTGAAACTTTTGAGTCTGAAATATTTTCAGGTATACAGGTAAGTGGGAAAATAAGACTGCTCTAAGGTTTGGATTGAAAATTGTGAGCTCTGAATTCCAGGTTTACTAAGGGCCCTCCTTCTTTTCTCTGATCTTAAAATGAATAAACATTATGTTTATTTTATTGAAGAGATTTTTAATGTATTATGTTCTGTTTGCTGTTTCCTGTTCCCCAACTCTTCTGCGGTCCTCCCCTACTCTCCCTCCGTATAAATGTAGGTCTTTTACATCTCTCAATATACGATATGCTGCAGTAAGTGTCTCCTGTTTCCTTGGAAAATGAGACTCAAGTGAAACCTTCACCCAAAAGCATTCAGAGGGATCAGAGTGTGTTAGGAGTGATTTGCAGCATCTCTGTTGTGGTTCTCCTACTTGTCAGAACTGAAGCCCTCCAGATTCACAATTCTCTGAAAGGGGGCAGGAATCCTTCTCTCAGCGGACTTTCTATTTTTCTTTTAGTTTTACATTAGGCACATGTTTTTCATTCATACCACAGCAAAGGTGAATCTACAGAAGGAATCAGCACTGCAATGTACAGGCATCTTCTTACAATTTTAGTGTTGTGGGGAGGGCTCTAGTGAAGCAATACAGGAGATGGGAGAAGGTTGAATCCTTATTAGTGTATTCTTTTCCTTCATCTTGTGATATTTTTCAGAAATCATAATGAAATTTGATGCCAATTGCTTTCTGACTTAAGATAATCTGATTGTGACCATACCAGTCAATTCTACATAATCCCATTACATGTGTGAAGGACGTATGACTAGTGGGGGCCATTCTCTAATAATATTCTATTTTCTGTTTCTACAGATTTCCTTAGAGAAAAAATGGACTCAGTAAATGTCTCTTTGGTGTCTGAATTCATTCTGGCAGGATTAACAGACAAGCTTGATCTTCAACTACCCTTGTTCTTTGTGTTTCTAGCAATTTATCTGGTCACTATTTTGGGAAATTTGTGTTTGATAATTCTGACTGTGCTGAATTCTAACCTCCACACACCTATGTATTTCTTTCTGTTTAACTTGTCATTTATAGACCTCTGCTATAGTTCTGTGTTCACTCCCCAAATGCTGATGAATTTTATATTAAGGAAGAATACAATTTCTTACATGGGATGTATGACTCAAGTCTATTTCTTTTCCTTCTTTGTTATTTCTGAATGTTATATGTTGACTTCAATGGCCTATGATCGCTACATGGCCATCTGTAATCCACTGGTGTATAATGTTTCCATGTCTCCTAAATTATGCTTGAACCTTATGCTTGGTTCTTACTTTATTGCATTTTCTAATGCTGTAGCTCACACTGTATGCATGCTGAGACTGACCTTCTGTGATGCCAACACCATCAACCACTACTTCTGTAATATTCCTCCTTTGCTCCAGCTCTCATGTACCAGCACATATGTCAATGAACTTGTAATTTTTGTTCTTGGGGGCATCAACATCATTATTTATTCATTAACTATCTTCGTGTCCTATGGTTTCATCCTTTCCAGTATTTTCCACATCAGTTCCTCTGAGGGCAGGTCCAAAGCCTTCAGTACCTGCAGCTCCCACATAATTGCTGTTTCTCTGTTCTCTGGTTCAGGTGCAATTGAATATTTCAAACCCTCCTCAGCTGGGTCTATGAATGAAGGGAAAATCTCTTCTGTCTTTTATACCAATGTGGTTCCCATGATGAATCCCTTAATCTACAGCTTGAGAAACAAAGATATTAAAGTTGCCCTTAAAAAAACCTTGAATAGCAGGACCTTTTGATTCTACAGTGTTGTCTTTATGCCTTTTATTTTGGGAACTATTTATGGGCAATATTTCAGCAGAAGACTTTACCTTTCTTTCCCCTAGAAAATATTCTACTTTTATTTTTATTTCTATTTTTTATTTAATTTATTTTGTTTTTATTTAATTTATTTGTTGTTGGCTTGGATTTTGAACTGGCAAAATTCCTGGTGTAATTCCAAATATTATCTGTTCCCTTTTCTATCATAAAAAGAAATTTGAATTCTGTGATTTGATTTTCATATTTTCTGAGTTCATCTTCTTCATTGTTTCTCATTTTCAACATTATCTATTGTTTTGTATTTAAAAATGCTGCCACAGAAAGAACTTACCTATTTCCCACCATTAATTACAGACATATTCTTTTTCCTATTAGACATCAAAACATCTTACAAATGTCAAATGAAGTAACGTTGAGATGGCAGTTTCCACTGTTTGTGGGTTTCTCATTTTGAATGTACATCTTTTGTAATTCAAACATCTGATTCTGTTCTTTTCTGTATATTTTCCACTAGAAAACAACATAACCCTTTTAATTTCCTGTGTGACAGATACGATTTATTGCTAGTCAGTAGCATAATGAAAACTCTGGAAGTACCTAATTGTCCCAGGTTTAAGGCATGTTATCAGTTCATATTCCTTTTGCATGTGTGTTGTTACTATTTAGGAAATATTAACATAAGAATATAGTACAGTCTTGAATCTTTATAATAGTTTGTCTGTAGGAGACACCTGTGCCTAGAGTTGTTGCAGTGGTCACTTTATTTTGTATTATTCTTTTTGTTTGTTTTCTGTTTGTCTGGTTTTGTGTTTGTTTGCAGTGGAACCTGAGTTCATCTACAAAATTAAAAATGAAATAGTTTGGGTGTTTTAAGTGCCTTAATAATTCAAGAAAAGAAGATCTGGGATAAAAAGCATGCCAACTAAAGTCACTAAAGAAGAAACAAGAATACAGATAGTGGGAAAATAAACGCCTTTCTCTGCAAAGACTCCCTAAGGAACTCTGAAAATTATATTACCACCAGATACTTAACCTTCTTCTATAATTCATTGCTAATATTTCCCTTTCTTTATTAGTCTTTATTCATCACACCCACATGACTATGCATTAGTACTGTTTTGGAAAATGAAGACCAAAATCGCTTTATTGAGAAATGAAGATGGCTATGTTTTTGTGTTCAATTTAGTGAGGACAGTAAAGTCAAGAAGAAAAGAGTGAGCGGTTTTTGAGACATTAGTTAGGATGAAGGCTTCAGAGAGTTCAGTGCAGCCAATGGGAGCCTCTTTCTATGGCCTCTTTTATCTTTAGCAGAACTTCCTGGAAATACTACGAGGACTGAAACATCACTCTGCATAGGTTAAAATGCTTAACCTCATTGACAGGAAAGAAAAATACAACCCAAAGGAAGATTAGGAGACAAATAAATCATAGGAGACAAGTAAATCACTCCATTGGGTTTAACTTTTGTATGAGACTCCCTTATGGAATTTCTCTGGGAAATAAATATCACTAAAATGGATTGCGTTGGCACATTCTAGGTATCAAGGACAAAGATATTATTAACACATAACTGTTTAAAGCACTGTCTTTTTCTCTTCTGTGAATGAATGTGTGTAGAAAAGTGTTTATAGTCAAGAGTTGTTTTACTTTTTTTTTTCAACAAAAAATTGAAAAGTGCAGTGTCTGTGGCAAAGATTTCCATTGTAGATAGAGGTTGTCTTATGAAGTGTATGGGAGGACAGTGGATCCTGTGCATATTTGCAATATAAAAGTTTCTTTCTGTCTAAAGGGAATGATCACATCTCACATATCAATATATTATTATGAACAGTAGCATTATGGTCCGAATGCCTATGACAGTGGGTAGAGATGACTGTGTACACTTCTGCAAAACAGACATTTGCCAGTGTTTGTTGCAGTGAGGTGTACCAGGACAGGTCAAGACAAAACAATCACTCTTCTAACACAAATTGTGAACTTTCCAAGTTTTCTTTTTCCTTACTTGAGCAATATAGAGATAATGAGGCTTCAATTATGTCATTCAACTGTAAAGGAAGCCAGGAAGTTATTTCAATATAGTCAGGATAAGAGATTGTTACATAGAATAATCAACAAAAAAATGTGTGTATCCATCCTTGATGGAGCAAGCACCAGCATGGGTAAGTTAGCAAACTACATAAGAACAAGGCTGAGGGAAAATGTCAGTGTTGAGTGCTTGCTTAATTTGTGTTAATCCTTGGGGTATAATCTGAGTACAAAAAACATAACTAGAATAATGAGATTATAAGCCATATTTTGTTACATAAGCATATAGCAATTATAAACTACACATTCCATGAAAATTTTGCCATAGTAATTGCTTTATAGATAACATTTATATATTCATATATAGATCCTTTTTTCACCATTAAATGTTAATTCAAAGCTTTGATTGAAGAGTTATTTATGTGAAGAGTGAACAAACTTAAGCAAACATGAAGAAAAAATGTTCAAGTATCTGTGATCAATCTTTATAGTACAAAATGGATCTCATGGAAGCAAAACTACAGAAGCAATGTAAAACTATAGAGCCATCTAAACTCACCTAGAGCAGAGACATCCTGTTCACTGTAACTAAATAGGAGTTTTCACTTATGCTAATAAAAGGAGCAAAGGCTGTGTTCAGTCAAGTTGTATAGATTTTGAATTGCAATAAAATTTTTCTATCTTAAAACTTAGAAGGAGAGCATATTTGTCATTCCGTTTATAGAAATTCATCTTAACCTCTTAAGTTATATAAGTGAATTCTTATATAACATTGAAATGCTTCTAAGAAGAATTATTATCATTATAGACTAGGAATCAAATCCAAGGCTTCACTTGTGCTAGTGAGTACTTTACTACTGACATTCACCCCAGGACATTAATTTTCAATTCCACTTACAAACAATGAAAACTTTATGTGGAGCCTAATAATTCCATATACCAAAAATCCCAAATAATAAAATACTGAAAAATTACTGTTCTATTCAAATCAAAGACCTGAAAGTTTCATATAATGAAAATTGCATAACTTTGCTAAAAGAAATGGATGTATAAACACACACATACACACACACACACAATTCTTTGCTCTTAGCTTAGACATTCCTTGGCTGATATGTTGCTCTCATAGTCATTTAAGTACAGATGCACATGCCTTGCACACTTCTGTGCTAGCATGCACTTGTGCACACATACTCACTGGAGAAAGTATATTAAGCCCCACACAAAAAGTAAATATTGAAGAAAACACTACAGAGATTAAATGTATGCAGATGAAAACCACAAAACAATGCTTAAAGAAATTAACAAAATATAGCCATCAAGAAGCATAACTTTTTGTTTTTTGTTTTTGTTTTTGTTAAAGAAATTAACAAAATATAGCCATCAAGAAGCATAACTTTTTGTTTTTGGTTTTTGTTTTTGGTTTTGGTTTTGGTTTTGGTTTTTGGAGACAAGGTTTGTCTGTGTAGCTTTGGAGCCTATCCTGGCTCTTGCTCTGTAGACCAGGCTGGCCTCAAACTCACAGAGATCTGCCTGCCTCTTGCTCCTGAGTCCTGGGATTAAAGGCATGTGCCACCAACACCCGGCCAAGAAGCATAATTTTATTAATTGGTCAGAAAAATGACTACTGTTAGGTTGTCAATATAGACTGTCTTTCCATTCCATTTGGTCCCACAGCAGGTTAGCCTAAATAAACACACAAAGAGTTATATTAATTATAAAATATTTAGTGTATGGCTTAGGCTTCTTACTGGCTAGATCTCTCTTAAGTATTAACCTGTACCTATTCTATATATTTCTACATGGCCTTGTCTTACCATTGAAAGCCTGAAATCCTGTCTTCCCAGTAGCTACATGCTGTCTCCCTGGTGGCTTCTCTCTGCATCTTTTCTTCCTAGAATTTCCTTCTCTGGTCCTGCCTATACCTCCTGCATGGCTATGGTCTAGTCAGTGTTTTATTCATCTACCAATGAGAGAAACATATATCAACAGCATACAGAAGGAAATCCCCATCAGTCAATACCTTCCAAAAGATAGCTAACAATATCACCTCTCAGTGACATTTGTTTTTAACAAAATTCTTTATTGGTTCTCTGGGAATTTTACAACATCCACAGCTATCTTCCTCACTTCCCAGTCTTTCCATAGATATACCTTACCCTTGTAGAGTGCCCCCCATATTAATAAAAAACAAAACAAGTTCACTCATGTGTCTTTCCAACACCTGTTCACTTGTCATAGTGGCATCAGAGAAACTGTGGTGTGTCACACAGTATATCTTTTTATCCAGTTAGTCCCTCCCCCAAAATGTTCATTGCAATGGGCCATTGGTCTCTGGCACATCATCTTCATTGGATATCCTGAAACTCTTCTTGGATATCCTGCTGTTGCTCCAAGCCATGGAGATCCTGCCATAAGTGCTTAGCAAGACCAGTCCATTCATATACTCCAGTAGAACATAGGATGGCTATATGTTAGGGCAGGCCAACCGAGGCTCAAGATATGGTTCTGGGGGATAGCTGAGCTGGGGGGGCACTGGGGCAGCCTCATCATGTGAGGATTAGAGCCCTATTTTCTATGCCAATGCCATCAGGGCCTGTTCTCCCATGCCTGCCTTGAGGGGAGGGGCCATGCCTGCCAAGTGTGTGTGTGTGGAGGGGGGTGGTGGGCAGCATCCCATGCCTGCCTTGAGGGGAGGGGCCATGCCTGCCAAGTGTGTGTGTGTGTGCGTGGGGGTGGGTGGGCAGCATTCTCTTGGTGGAATGGGGCCAACTCTTCTGCTGCAGTTTCCAGTGAGGGCAGGGTCAATTACCCCAGGGCCAGTCATGTTTGGGGCCAGCACAGCATGGGCCTTGGATTTCAACACACATGTTTCTTACTATCCACCATGGCACAAGGAGACATGGACATCATCACAGACCCCAGCCAAGGCACAAACAAGACATAGAAATGT